TATGCAAAGGCATTCAACTGTGTGGATCATAGCAAATTATGGATAACATTGTGAAGAATGGGAATTCCAGAACACTTAATTGTGCCCATGAGGAACCTGTACGTAGACCAGGAGGCAGTTGTGCGAACATAGCAAGGGGATACTGCGTGGTTTAAAATCAGGAAAGGTGTGCATCAGGGTTGTATCCTTTCACCAAACTTAATTCAGTCTGTATGCTGAGCAAATAATCTGAGAAGCTGATTTTATGAAGAAGAATGCAGCATCAGGATTGGAGGAAGACTTATTAACAACCGGTGCTATGCAGATGATACAACTTGTTTGCTGAGAGTGAAGAGGACTTAAAGCACTTACTGAAGATCAAAGACTACAGCCTTCAGTATGGATTACACCTCAATGTAGAGAAAACAGAAATCCTCACAGCTGGACCAATAAGCAACATAATGATGAACAGTGAATATTGAAGTTGTCAAGGATTTCGTTTCACCTGGGTCCACAATCAACACCCACGGAAAGAGCCGTCAAGAAATCAAGTAATGTACCGCATTGGGTAAGTCTGCTGCAAAAGACCTCTTTTAAAGTGTTGAAAAGCAAAGATGTCACTTTGAGAACTGAGGTGCCCCTGACCTAAGCCATGGTATTTTCAGCTGCCTTATATGCATACGAAAGCTGCACAGTGTATAAGGAAGACTGAAGAAGAGTTGATGCCTTTGAATTACGGTGTTGAAGAGTATTGAATATATCATGGACTGCCAGAAGAATGAACAAGTCTTTCTTGGAAGAAATACAGCCAGAGTGCTCTTTGGAAGTGAGGGTGGCAAGACTTTGTCTCGTGCTTAGGACTTGTTATCAGGAGGGATCAGTCCCTGGAGAAGGACATCATGCTTGGTAAGGTAGAGGGTCAGCGAAAAAGAGGAAGACCCTCAAAGAGAAGGATTGACACAGTGGCTGCCACAGTGGGCTCAAACATTGCATCGATTATGAGGATGGCGCAGGATGGGGCAGTGTTTCTTCTGTTGTACATTGGGTCACTGTGAGTCAGAACTGACTTGATGGCACCTAACAACAACAACAACAAAAGCCCCGGGAGCCATCCCAGAGGGCCTGGAAGGTGGAGAATCCGGAGGGCGAGACCAACACCCGGAGGCTGGAGGGTAGGGCCATTGCCTAGATTTTCTCAGAGAACATTATTTTCAGGCCTTGAGAGCTAACGTAAATTGTTCTGCTGAGTTTTGGACTTGGTTGGTGCCTGTTAATCCCTTCTTCCTCCAATTTCACCTGTTTGTAATGGAAATGTCTACCTTGTGTCTACCTTCTTCCACCATTGTACTGCAGATAACTTGTATTCTAGATTTCACAGGTTCACAGACGAAGAGGAATTTTGCCCCAGGATGGAATTTGGATTTGGAGTTAATTTAAGACTTTTGGGATGATGTGATGGGGTAAATGTGTTTTGCATGTGGCAAGGACATGAATTTTTGGAGGCCAGAGGGTGGAATGTTACGGATTACATTGTGTCCCCCAAAAATATATCGTAAATCCTAACCTCTATGCCCCTAGTTATAATCTCATTTGGGAATAGGTTGTGTTTTTTATGTTAATGAGACAGGATTAGTGTAGGGTGATCTTGAGTCAATCTCTTGAGATATGAATGAGATTAAAAGCAAGCTAGCAGGCAGAGATGGGGGAAGAAAGATAACAAGCCATGTGAAGATCACTTAGAAGCAGAAGCTCAAAGAGACTAGGACCTTCCTCCAGAGTCAACAGAGAGAGAAAGCCTTCCCCTAGAGCCTCCACCCTGAATTCTAACTTCTAGCCCCCTAAAATGTGAGGCTAAATATTTGTTAAAGCCACCCGTTTATGGTATTTATGTTACAGCAGCATTAGATAACTAAGACAAACATGAAAGCAGGGATCATATCTATTTTGTTCTCTGAATCTGCAGCACAGAGCACAATGTCTGGCACATAGTAGGTGCTCATTAAATATTTGATGATTGATTTTTCTTATAATAGGAAGTGGGTCTTCAAAATTTGAATATTGCTTTAAGTGATGTTTAAGTCTTTTAAAGTTGTCAAATCTTTTTCATTTAACCATTTTGGATTAGAGCAAGGGTTGAGTCAAATCTGCCCAGCTGCCTGTTTTTATAAATAAAGTTTTATTGGAAAACAACTGTGCTCATTCATTTAAATATTGTCTGTGGTTGCTTTGCAAAACCTAAAATATTTACTCTTTGGCTCTTTACAGAAAAACGTTGTCAAGTACTGGATTAGAACATTAAAAATATTCTTTAATTCTTTCCGTCCTCCTCCTATGCATCAGATGGGACATACTGTAATGTTGAGCTTTCTCAATACTTCTGCCATGAGCTGTTCTTGTCTGTTCTGTACAGGCTTGCTGATATGATTTATATAAAGCTGTGTGGTTTTTCAGAAATGCTTTTTACTCATGTTAGACCTTTCTTTCTTGTATGTGTGCCTGCCACTCACTAGTGGACCCTTACCACTCTGGATTTGTGATTTATGACCTCCTGTGAGTTAAGAAACGAGATAACAGGCTTTTCAGAATTAATATTTAAAGTGTAAGAGGCTCAGAGAAGGTAGCAGGGCTCCTCCGAGGAAAGCACAGGAGCTTTTTTGTGTGCAAGGAAGTGAGACATCTAATTTGGCTATTCAGAGGTTCTAGGTGGTTCATTGCCTGTTCCAGTTAGCTGAGGCCCAGTCCGGGTAAGTGAGGTGCTGCTGTATAAACCTATGTCTTGTGCTGTTGTGGAAGCCTGGGTTTGTACACGTGGAGGGTGGCTATGCATCAGGTTTCCGAACTTGGTATCTCCTTCTGCATTTAGTGCTCTGATCTGCATACTTAGGTAGAAAGTCAACTTCCATTCCCTGTGGACATTCACCTTTACACTTTGAACTAACACCCTGTACCCTGGCTTTTTGCCAAAATATTTCTTTTCCCAGTGGCTGGAAACTGATTAGCTAGATGGCAGAACAAAGATGCCTTTGTACTGGGGCATATTGCTTTTGAGAATTTAGCAGAGAGCATTCAAACAGTCTGGATGCCTTGCCAAATTATGCAGATTTGGGGGTTTTTGGTCAGGTTTCCCATGAGTAGGTATGTGGGCAACTTAATTTTGTTCTCAGTTTGTATGGTCTGGAATTTTCTTTCTAAATGTTATATAGGCTTTCATTATAGATTATTTTAAAATGAAAAGGCTTAGTTTCGAGAAAACACATTTAGTAGAAAATTGTTTTTGATAGTTTTTCTGCCAGCTTTTGCCAAAAAGATTTCTATTAATGAATTTGTTTTCAGAGCCAAATTACAAGTAAATCTCTGTCTCTTTAAGAATACCATGCAGATACTTTATCTGTCAATGAGGATGAAAAGTATCTCCCCCCAAAATAGTAAAAAATAAGGTGTCCCTAGTCTTGAATGTTAATCTGAAACTAGTTTTTGAAGACTTCAAGCAGCATCAGAAAAGAATAACAATGCTTTTGGTAGTTTGACACAGGTTTGACAGTTAACATTCATTATGTAAAGTTGTATGGTACTGGCCTAGTTAGAAGACGTGGGTTCTAGTTCTTTCTCTGTGACATATTGTACCCTTATTTCCTGCTTATATAGTGAAAATGATAATTTCTTACCAATAGGGAGGTTGAGGATTAAACAAGAGATTACAAACTGAGGCACACTGTTTATGAACGCAAGACGGTGATACTACTATTATCTATAGCGATAGCAGAGACTGGGACTTTAAACTAGTTCTTTTGTGGGAGGAGCCTTTTGTCTCTTATAGTTTTTTTTAAATTCTGGAAAATTCTGACTTTAGTTTCCATTTTCATCAACTTCTGACAACAAGTGGGGGAAAACTTGTAAATTTAGATAAATGCATGTTTAACATTCTATTCTCATTCTGGTTATTTTAAAAAACATGATTTCAACTTCTGTTTCTGCTGTTGGCTTCATTTCTTCTTCTATATCTTATTTTCTGATTAGATTTTTTATTTATAGATGGTCTTCTTTCAGCCATATGATTTAACAGTACCTGGTTTTAGATGCCGTGTTTTCTCTTCGTTTACATCAAAGATTAGAAATTGGTAGCTTAAGGAATGATTTCAATCTCCAGATGGGTTATTTGACCCAAACAAGGGTTTTTTAATTTAGGTGTCACCATTTAAAAACGGGCATGGTTTTACTTAAAAACAGGCTTTCTGGAATCTCTTGAAAAATTGGACTTGGCCACATGAATTCCTACAGCCCATGGGAGAGAGAACTGCCGGGAGCTGAGGAGCAGCTGTGCCATTTAAATAGGGCAGGGGTTCTCCAGTTTGCCAGAGTCCTTATTACTTCCTGTTGTGGCTGTCATCCACACAGAGACAAAATGTCTTTGCACTTAACTGTTTTTCTCACAGTGAAGAAAGAAGTTAAAACCTCATACCTCTTTCTCTTTCAAAAGTGGGAAGATGAAAGATTAAGAACTCCTTCAGAAAACTGAGGGAGAGAGTGCTTAATTGTGGACATGGAGACCAAAATTCCTGTGTTTGATATGCACCAACTTCACTTAATTCTTTTGTTTCTAAAGGAGGGTTGTATTAGGGTAACTGACAATAAATTTTTTCCCATTTTTTTAGTTGTCATCCATAGTAAGAAATTTGTTTTATATTGCAACAAATATTTATTGCTGCTGATAATGAAACAATGAACAAGATGATCAGTGATTATTCTGAGTTCTGCTTTTTTATACTTAACATTTTATCAGAAACATCTTTGTTAATTTGTGATGTGTGTTTGAGAGGGCCATCTAGTGGTTCTTTTTTGGTATGGCATATCTGATTACTATCCTACATTATGGTTTGATTAGAATAAGTTAATATTTAACTAGTTTGTTTATGTACCAAAAGCATTTAAGGTAGCCTTTCTGTACAGATTCAACTGCAGATAAATGGTGTTTTTTTTTTTTCACAGCATTTCTATAATTATTTTATTTTATTTTTAAACAGAGGAAGCAGACTACAGTGCCTTTGGTACAGACACGCTAATAAGGAAGAAGAATGTCTTAACTAATGTGTTGCGTCCTGACAACCATAGAAAAAAGCCTCATATAGTCATTAGTATGCCCCAAGACTTCAGACCTGTATCTTCTATTATAGATGTGGATATTCTCCCAGAAACACATCGTAGGGTTCGTCTTTACAAATACGGCACTGAGAAACCCCTAGGATTCTACATACGGGACGGCTCCAGTGTCAGGGTAACACCACATGGGTTAGAGAAGGTCCCAGGAATCTTTATATCCAGGCTTGTCCCCGGAGGTCTAGCTCAAAGCACAGGACTCTTAGCTGTTAATGATGAAGTTCTAGAAGTTAACGGCATAGAAGTTTCAGGGAAGAGTCTTGATCAAGTAACAGACATGATGATTGCAAACAGCCGCAACCTCATCATAACAGTGAGACCAGCAAACCAGAGGAATAATATTGTTAGGAACAGTCGGACTTCCGGCAGCTCCGGCCAGTCTACGGATAATAGTCTCCATGGCTACTCACAGCCGACTGAATCAAGCTTTCAGTTTGACGAAGACAGTGATGAAGATGACATTATTATTGAAGATAATGGGGTGCCGCAGCAGATTCCTAAAGCTGTTCCAACTGCTGAGAGCCTGGAATCATTGACACAAATAGAACTCAGTTTTGAGTCTGGACAGAATGGTTTTATTCCTTCTAATGAAGTGAACTTAGCACCCGTAGCAAGTGGCACAAACACAGAATCTGAAACAAGTGCTCCGGATCAAAAACTTTTAGAAGAAGATGGAACAATCATAACATTATGAAACCACTGTTAAAATGTTTTCTGAGAGAGGATGTCACAGGGGCTTGTAAATTTGGTTAGTTTAAAGCATACATATACCTCTGAGCCAGTGACATGGAATAGACATGAGAAAAATAATATTGCAAGCTTAAAATGTTATTAAAATAGTTGTTTGATAATTGTTAATGTAAACTTTGATGGATCAGAGGTGAATTTAAAAACAACAGAGCCTTTGCTAATGAAATTACATGCTTTTGCTATTTTGTCTGGAAAACTGGATATTAGAGCACATTTTCAGAACTGTGTGGGAGGGAAGACTAGATCATTTCCGTTTGAAGTGGTTGCATATTTAACCTGCTGTGCAGAGCCCAGTTAACGGTATTTTTTTTTTTTTTTAATTCTAATGTGAAGAAGTCTGTCTGTCTCTTTGGTACCTTGGGGACCTCAGCTCCTATGTTCCCAGCATTTTATTTTGATTTTTTAATGTTCCTGTGTTGCTGATTATAACAAATTATTTCCTGAAATGCATATTTTCCTAATTTCTAAGAAATCAAACCAATTTGGCTGTTTTTAGGAGTTGCATTTCATGTTATAAAGCGTTGAAGCTATGTTCCTGAATTATAAAATTCTGTAACAATTGTTCAAGTTGGTGTCTGTCCATCTTATAGCTTACATATTTACAAACTAATTCCATGTAGGTGTAATTTATATTTTAGAAAACTCTCCTTTAACCTATCGTCCTCATTTCCCAGTTTCATTGGAAAGCATTCCTTTTGTTTTTCTGCATGTGCTCTGTTGATGTGCTTTTATATTCTTTTAATGTATTCAAGTAGTTTGAATTGTTTTAGATGAAAAAAATGCACCCAAATTAAGAGATTTTTACACATAAGACAAACCTGTGCACTTTTTATACAAAAAATTTGAATTTTCTTTGGTGAGATTTGTAGGAACACTGCCTACACTTTATGAGAAATAATGTATTCACCTTTGACAGGTAGAGTTTATCACTGTTAATTTTATGAGGCTATTTATTCCTTTCAGTGCATCTACTTAGAACAAGTTAAGAATAAGGCTGCTAACTTTCATTCATTGCCTGATTTCTTTGGTATGTGTCATTGTACAGTGTGCACAAGCACTATGGTATGCTTGTATATAGAAATTAAGAATATTATGGTATACATAAGTTCCCTGTGGCTTATGGACATTTCTCCCAGAGTTATTTATTAATTAATTTTATGGTAGGGCTAGTATGAATACCTTATAACAATTGTGTGCTATTAAAACAATGAAGAATCAACTGACTCCGTTTTGAAGGATATTTTCTCTATATGGTAAAAATATGAGAATAAATAAAGTCTTGATTAAATGAAGATCGCTTGACTCAAAATACTTAAATGTATTTTGTTAATATTACCACTAAACATATTATCACTAAACTATTAACTGACTGCACAGCATTATGTAATACAATGTCGTTTTTGTTGAATTCACTGAAATTCTTCCATTTATCTACCACTGTTTTTTAATGGCATTCCAGCTTTAACATTCTGTGAGTCTTAGAAATTTGACTCTAGAATGACAAAATAATGTTAGTGTTTAGAAGGTTAAATTTCATTTAGAATGTAAGTGGTGCAGGGGTTTAACATTTAAGTAAGAATACTTTCACACACTACCTCTCTCTTTTTTTTTTAACAAAGTTTTAACATCTGAAGTTTTCTCTTGGGAAAATACTTCAGGGCTTGACTTTTTGTACGAATTTTAACTGTAAAATACAAATTTATCTTGTATGTATTCATGAAAATGGAAATCAAATCTGCTAGTGCTTTTTATTTTAATTATCCTGCTAAGAATATGTCAGTGGTGTTTTTAACTAGATATCTGTCATTTAAATTATCAGTGAAATAATTATTAGACATACTGTATAAAACCAAAAGGTTTTTGTTATACAGTAAAATATCAATTCATTGGTAGTCTGAATTGATTATTTCAAGTGCACCTTATTAACAAAAATATCAGTGGACTCAGTATAAAATTTTATAGTGCTAAATGTCAAGCCTGACTGTGAATTTTGTTCTGTATCTTAAGTAAATGTATGATAATGTTCTCATGAGCTGTCAACAAAATATATGTACTTTTGGGAACTATGAATTTTCTAATTAAATTTTACATGCTACGACATGATTTTTACATGAATGCTATATTTAAACTCAAATGTCAGTATTTTACTACAAAATGTACATTATCACTAAATAGACTTTGATTTTAAATAATCAAATTAGCTTTAGTTGTATATTATTTTTTACAAATAAAGATAGACTTGTATAAAGGCTACTTTCTTGTTTTGAAATATATGAAAAATCACCAAATATTTACCAAGCACCCATTATATAAAGTGGATACGGTGGAAATCAGTAAGTTATAACAAGACCCTTGCTTCCTTAACTTTTCATTGTTAAAAGATAAACACCAAATTGTATGTAAATTTAACTGCAGCTGTGTATGAGCATAATATATGGCTGTGGATTGGAAGGTAACATTAAAAATTAGTTAATTCTGATAGTGGGGAAAGATTATGCATGATATCCACCCAGAGTTATCTTTAACATTGTTAAAGATTATTTAAAACAAGACAAAAGTAGTAAGTAATATGACTGTTCATTGTATTCTGAAATTCAAATTCACTTAGAGTTAAAATGCGTATTTATTGCCATCCTTATATGGCATTACCTATATGGATTGAATTCAGTTTCTACTGAAAATTTTAAAAGAGCCTGAGAATAGAGAAACCCTCTTCCTGAGCTATTCATAATCCCAAATTGATCACCCTGTCATTGGCTTAGCTGATCTCTACACTAACTCTTCTATCCACCAGTTTGGAAGATAATCTTGATTTTCCACCCTCTCCCACCCTCAACTGAAAAACAAGTTTTAAATCCTCTGAATGTAAGCTGAGCATCATGTACGTGGAATTCTTCATAACATTGATTGGTACAGATTGGGTTACATGCAGCCCTTGATATTCGTTCATATCTGGGTTTAAGGTCCTCCATGAAATAATAGTGTGGAACTAAAACATCCCTTTAACCCTGAATGTAAGATTTCACTGCTGTTTGCACCTTAAATCCTGCTGCTTCCAAATTTCCAGTTCTGGGTAAGAACTTGTTGGTAAATTTGGCTTTCAGAAAAATCAAGCCCTACTGTTTGGTTGTATCCATTTAAGTACTTAGTGTTTAGCAGCAACTGATAAAACCATAGCTTATTGTTTGGTTTTGATTTGTCCCATCTTTTAGATCAATGAAAGGTTTGGCTCTGACTGAATGGTAGAGCCTTAAGAGTGTGTATGTCAGTGACTTGGCAGCTGAACCCTCCTAAGCAAGTTTGGGAGTGCCTTACTTTAAGAAATGGAAAGTCTTGACTTGGTTGGTATATTGTGGCAGCATATGGTGTCTGTTACCTGTAAGGTGAGACAAAAAATAGCTGTGCCTTCTAGCTATGGTGAGATCATTTATATGCTGCTTAAGTGCTGTCAGAAAAGATAATTTGGAAACCAAAGTTAAGTCTGCGTTACCCCCAGGAGTACACATGCCATCAGATGACTCTCGTGTGGATGTCTGGCTGCCTATTAAGAGGTAAGTATAAAGCAAATTAGTCTGATGTAACAACTAAGACACAAAGTCCTTTGTAGTATTCTACTAAGTTCTTCCCTAAAATCAAGTAAGATTTAGATAATATTTTGAAAGCTCATGTGTTTATCAGGTTATTTTATACCACTTGATGTGCATTTCATAAATTAATATTAAAATTGCATTAGTTCTATTTATAATTTATTTAGGTGTTTTCCCATTCTTTAAAAAAAAATGCTCTCTGGAAATGGTGTTTATTCCAAAAGCAGCATTCTCCATGTAATAGAAACTCAGGAACTTATTATCTAGTTCATTATAATTCCAAGCGATGAACAACGAAGTTAATTATTACAGTATTAGTAACTAAGATAACTTTTAAAAAATAATTTCTGATCATACAAATAATATATAAATTCTCCTTGTAAAAAGTCCTTGTTGACAACCAAGCATATTTATCCATACTGTACTTTGCTACAAAAAAGGAATGAAGTGGCTTAAAAAGAGAGTTAGTATAATTTTTATCAAATTGGGGTACTTTGGAGAGTGATCAAGTTTGCTATTAACCCTGGCAAACAACAGGCAGGTTAATAGTAAACAACTGGAGCTGTCCAGGGTAAACTTGAAATGTGGATCACACTATTGAAGATATTGTAATAACAGACATTTTAAAAAAAAGCACAACCCTCAGTAAGAAACGCATTTAACATTGTGACCCAGTACGAAGATATGTGTATGTATGTAAATGATACATATATGTGTGTATGTATTTGTGGGTGTGTATTTGAAATGAAAATTTCACAAAATGGAACTTCATTACATGAAAAATGCTCTGATTTTGTATTTCATTTTCTAAAAATGCTTGTTGGGACATCCCAAAAGAATTTCTGGATGCACTATTTGAAAAACACTGGGTAACATGTTTAAAATAGTGGAAAATGTTCCCTATGTAGAGCACTTTACTTTCCAATTAAGACATTTGCCATGGGAAAGACTAGCATTTTTTTTTTCCAAAGAGGGAGAAAAAAAAAAAAAACACCACTGTATTGCTTTCTTTTTTTATTTTGGAATTATTTCTCTTTTTTTATTTTGAAATTATTTCAAACCTAGAAAAGAGCTGTGTGAAAAGTGCAACTACACCCTTTGCCCAAATTTTCAGTTTATTTTGCCACATTTCGTGTATCTGTCTCTGCACTGTTTTCGTTAACTACGGTAAAACCCACGAGAGACAGAAACTGTGTTAAGGCGGAAACCTGTCAGAGAAGGAAAATTCATTTTCCACTAAAATGAGCGATAGAAAAGTGGTAAGACTGTACCCTGTCAAAGGTGGAAAACTTGTGAGACTCGGAAAAACAAGGCAATTTCGTTGAGTTCTGGCTTTCACAGTTTTCACTGTCTTTGAGAATTGGTTGCAGAGGCTTATACTTCCTACAAACGAGGACATTTTCTTATGCAACCACAATTCAACTATCAAATTCAGAAAATTAACATTGATGCAACACAGTTGTCTAATATCCAATCCGTACTAGAATTTGACCAGTTGTCCCAGTATGTCTGTTACAGCAGTTCTCTCACCAATCCAGAATCATTTGATTGTCACATCTCTGATGTCCTTTAATCTGGGACTCTTCCTCAGTTTTTCATAATATTGAAATTTTTGAAGAGTAAAGATGAATTGTTTTATAGAATGTCCCTCGGTTTGCGCTTGTCTGTTTCCTCATAATTAGATTCAAGTCAGGGATTTTTGGCAGGAAAGCCACCAAGGCCACACTGTCTTCTTTGCATCCCATCAGGAGGCACATTATGTCCATTTGTCTCAGTATTGGTGATGTTAAAATACCGCATTTCTAATGGGAAAAAACTAGTCTTTAATTCTTACGCTGATAAAAATACTTGGGAAAGACGTTTTCTACATCCAGCTGTTCCACATCTTCAATTGTTTCCTATTGAAGAAACCATGAGAAATGGTGAAATGGATTTTTTTTTAAATTTCGTTGTGCTTTAGGTGAAAGTTACAACTCAAGTTAATTGCTCATTCAAAAATTTATACACATATTTTGTGACTTTGGATGCAGTCCCCACAATGTGATGGCACTCTCCCCCTTTCCACCCTGGGTTCCGTGTGTCCATTCGTCCAGTTCCTGTCCCTTCCTGCCTTTTTGTCTTGCTTTTGGGCAGGAGTACCCATTTGGTCTCATATACTTGATTGAACTAAGAAGCACGTTCCTCATGTGCTTTATTGTTTGTTTTATAGGCCTGTCTAGTCTTTGTCTGAAAAGTAGGCTTCGGGAATGGTTTCAGTTCTGGGTTAGCAGAGTATCTAGGGGCTGTAGTCTTGGGGGTTCCTTCAGTTTCTGTCACACCAGTAAGTCTGGCCTTTTTTCGTTAATTTGAATTACGTTCTACGTTTTTCTCCCACGCTGTCTGGGACTCTCTGTTGTGATCCCTGTCAGGGTGGTAGTAGCCGGGCACCATCTAGTTCTTCTGGGCTCAAGCTGGTGGAGGCTCTGGTTCATGTGGTCCTTTAGTCCTTTGGGCTAATATTTTCCTTGTGTCTTTGGTTTTCTTCATTCTCCTTTTCTCCAGACGGGATCGAGTATCCCTGAGTACCATTTGCTTAACTAGATTTCTGGTCCCAGTGACTATTTTCTCTGGCACTGAACTGAAGAGAAGGGAGACAACCAACCGATACCTAAATCAGTGAGTAGTGGGCTGGTCATTGTGCGTTCTCAGGTTCTTGAGGTTGCTGACCAGAGGTTTCTTCCTGTGTATTCTTTGGACTGTGGATAAACCCAACTTAATTTGGCTTAAATAAAAGGGAATGTGTCTCATGTGACTGAAAATTTCAGATCTAGAACTCCAGGCACAGATATTGTGTAACAGTGCTGTCCAAGAGAACTTTTTGCAGTGATGGAAATGTTCTGCATTTGCACTGTCCAAAATGTTCTCCTCTAGCCCCAGGTGGCTATTGCATACTTGAGGTGTGGGCTAGTGAGACTGAGAAACTGCATTTTTAATTTAAACTTAAATAGCTACATGTGGCTAGTAGCTACTGCATTTTGCAGCACAGGTTAGAATCTCTCTCCATTTCTTGCTTTCCTTTCCCTTAGGCAGATTCCTCCCTTGTGGTGGCAAAGATGGCCTCCAGCGGCTCCATCTTACATTCTGTCATGTTAAGAACCTACCAAGAAGGGAGCCTCTCTTCCCTACTAATAACAGCCAAAGCCCCAGAGCCAATTCTTACTGGCCCTGTCTGGGTCATGTGTCCATCCCTCCGCCAATCCCTGCAACTCTTAATTGTCCTGCGCCCAAATTTGGACTGAGTGGAGAAGGGATGGTCCCCCCAAAGAAGAATGAAGGAATCGGGATGCTGTTAAAACAAGAAAAGGAAGGACCACAGGGAAGTGAACATGGTGGGTATCACTTGCAGCTTAGTTTATAAAGTATTTGAGTATAAATTTTTTATACAGGAGAGAGTTAAAAGCATAAAGTACTATGTAAGAGATAAATGGAGACAGAAGAGACACACTCTATGAAAGGAAAATGGTAAAGGCAGAAATTGAATTTGCAGCCTAGTGGCAGTGTTCTGAATTTGAATGAAGAATTTAAATCTCATAAGGATGACAACATCAGAACTTGTGTTTTCAGGTATTATTGCTTATTTTGATTCTATTAAAATAAATAAATCTGATACAAATCTAATATATGAAGAATGCATAAACCCAATATGAACTTCAATCTGAAATGGCAGGAAGTTCAAAGTTTATCACATTCAAGTACAGAAATGAGAGAAATATAGGTCTTAGAGCGGGGGTTGCAAATTTAAATGCCCGTGGGGCCAGAGTCAGGCAGGGTGGGTGGAGATATCCTACACACACGCGCACGCGCGCACACACAGAGTAGCCCCTGGTAGCAGGGGCTGGCTACACACTCCATTGTTGCTACTTGGGTATGTGTAGGCCTAGTGTTGCCAGCTCTTCTAACTTAACAGAAGATTCCAGAAACCCAGAATTTCATAGGAAACATCCTGATTTTTTTTTTAATTGTGCTTTAAGTGAAAGTTTACAATTCAACTTAGTCTCTCATACAAAAATTTATACATACATTGTTTTGTGACCCTAGTTGCTCTCCCTGTACTGTGACAACACACTCTTCCTTTCCACCCTAGATTTCCCGTGTCCATTCAACCAGCTCCTGACCCTCTCTGCTTTCTCATCTCACCTCTGGACAGGAGCTTCCCATTTAGTCTCATGCATCTACTTGAGCTAAGAAGCACACTCATCACGAGTATCATTTTATGTCCCATAGTCCAGTCTAATCTTTGTCTGAAGAGTTAGCCTCGGGAATGGTTTTAGTTATGGGCTAA